CTCTCTGGACCGCTGCCTCATGTCTCCCACGAGGCACGGCTCTCTCCTTGCTTCAGCTCCCCTCCTTCTCCCTCCAGCTGCTGCTGCTCTGCCAGGTGCACCTCCCCCTCCACCCCGGGCCCAGGACAGACCCTCTCCTCGTTGTCCACAGCCCCAGCAAAGAACAAGCTGCAGCTTTTATGCTGAGTCTACTGAAAGTTCCAGGATGATAGAAGGGAAGGAGGCGTGAAGTGTTGCACCCAACTACTCCCAGAGGCAATGTGCTCAGAGCCCAGGGCCCTCACTGGGCACACGCACTCACACAGCACACGCCTCAGTGGAAGGGCATGGAATTTCTTGGAGCCCATGCCCACCACAGCCCAGTCGAAGGCCTGTCCAGTTGAAGGCTTGCCTCTCCATAGCCTCATTGTCTGACCTCATTCCAGGATGCTGGCAGTGGAAATTTCCACTCCCTTCAGGAAAAATCTGGCCCTGTTGTCAAGGGGTATGTTGCCCTGGGGTCCTCTATATTAGTCAGGGTTTTTCAGATAAACAGGAAGATAGCAGTCTCTCTCTCTTTCTCTCTTTTTCTCTCTCTCTCTCTCTATCTGTAACTCCACATATAGATTTATAATAAGGAATTGGCTTACGTCATTATGAAGCTGAGAAGTCCAAACTCAGCAAAGCTGATGGTATAGTCCAGTAGTTCTAATCTGAGTCCAAAGGCCTGAGTACCAGGACAGCTGATGATGTAAGCTCCATTCTGCAACCCAGTGTGAAGGCAGAAGAAAACCAATGTCCCAGCTCAGAGTCAGGCAGAGAGAGAGAAAGAGAGAGAGAGAGAGAGAGAATTGCACAGCCTTTTCCTTTTTAAAAACTTGATTTTTTTTTTTTTTTGAGACAGGGTGTCACTTTGTTGCCCAGGCTGCGGTGCAGTGGCACAATCACTGCAGCCTCAACTTCCCTGGCTCAGGTGATCCTCCTGCCTCAGCTTACCAAGTAGCTGGAACTACAGGTGTGCATCAACATGTTTGGCTGATTTTCGAATTTTTTTTTGTAGAGACAAGATCCCTTTATGTTCTTTATATTGCTCAGGCTGACCTCAAATTTCTGGGCTAAAGTGATCCTCCCACCTCGGCCTTCCCAGGTTTTGGGATTACAGTGTGAGCCACCACACTGGGCCTCAGCCTTTTATTCTATTCAGGCCTTCAATGGATTAAAGAAAGCCCACCCACACTGGGGAAGGCCATCTGCTTTACTCAGTGTGCTGATTCAGATATTACACTCATTCAGAAGCACCCTCACAGACACACCCAGCAATAATGTTCAGCCGGCTATCTGGGCACCTTGTGGCCTGGTTAAGCTGACACATGAAATTAACCATCGCAGCCTCAATCATAATCTGAGCCCAGCTTCCCGTCACTGGCACATGGCTCACTGCTCCTTTCTCTATCTCTCTTTTTTTTTTAGAGTCATCCTCACTTTATTTTCCTCCAAGAACCATTTTCTAACTCCCTCACCCTTGCTAAAAAATGTCATCTCCAAAGTGCTCATCCCCATGTCACCTCCGCCACCTGACCCTGCTATTTTCTTTTTTTGTTTGTTTGAGACACAGAATCTCACTCTATCTCTTAGGCTGGAGTGTAGAGGTGCTGTCTCGGCTCACTGCAACCTCCGCCTCCCGGATTCAAGCGATTCTCCTGCCTCAGCCTCCTGAGTAGCTGGGATTACAGGAGGCTGCCACCATGCCTGGCTAAAATTTTTTTTTTTTTTTTTTTTGTATTTTTAGTAGAGATGGAGTTTCACCAATTTGGCCAGGCTGGTCTCAAACTCCTGACCTCAAGCGATCCATTCCCCCCTCGGCCTCCCAGAGTCCTTGGATTACAGGCATGAGCCACCATGCCCAGCCTCCAACCCTGCTGTTTTCTTCATGACACTTAGTACAATCTGTAACACTCTTGCTTATTCTTCCTGTGTATCATCTGTATTCTCAACTAAAATATAAGTTCTGTAAGGACAGGGGTTTTGTCTGTCTTGTTCTTCACTGCGTCTCCTCGTGCCTCAGTGCCTGGCACAAAGTGGGTTTTAATAAATTTCTTTTTGCCAGCTTAGACAACATGGCAAGACCCTGTCTCTACAAAAAATACAAAAATTAGCTGGGCATGGTGGCATGCTCCTGCAGTCCCTGGTACTTAAGAGGCTAAGGCGGGAGTATCACCTGAGCCTGGGAGCTTGAGGCGCAGTGAATGATGATTGCACCACTGCACTCTGGCCTGGGTGACAGAGCAAGATCCTGTCTCAAATAAATAAATACATAACTTTTTTATGAATAAATGAATGAATGAATGAATGTGGATTCTTATTGTTCAATTTTGAAGCTTCATGTGAACTTGCAATTTAACCTCCTCCTCTCTCTGCACCAAGAAACTTCAGCAAAGTGCACAGACATGTCTTGGAGGAATGGATGGATTCTTTTTCTGGGTGGCAGTTACAGGAAAGGGCTGAATATCAATGGTGATTAACAGAGAAAACCCACATGGAAACAGGAGCCTGAAACCAAGAGAAACCATGATGATATAAACCCCCAGGGATTTATAGGAATCCCAGTAGAGCTTTGGAATCTCCTAGAGCATGGAGTGAGGCTTGAGCCAGGCTCTCAGGGGACCTGAGCGCTTCCCCTCACTTCTTCCTCAAAGGATGCTGTGTTACTTTGCATGGGCTGCTTGCTAACAAAATACCACAGCTGGAAAGCTTACACAACAGAAGCTTACTGTCTCGCAGTTCTGGAGGCTTGAAGTCCAAGAGGAAGGTGTTGGTAGGGTTGGTTCCTTCTGAGAGCTGTGAGGGAGTCATCTGTTTCAGGCTTCTCTACTTTGCCATCTTCATGTTCACATGACATTTTCCCTGTATGCATATCTGTGTTCAAATATCCCCTCCTTAAACAAACACGAGGTTCAAGAGATCCTCCTGCCTCAGCCTCCCAAATAGCTGGGATTACAGGCATGCGCCGCCACGCCCAGCTAATTTTTGTATTTTGAGTAGAGATGGAGTTTTGCCATGTTGGTCAAGCTGGTCTTGAACTCCTGAGCTCAAGTGGTCTGCCTGCCTCAGCCTCCCAACGTGCTGAGATAATAGGCATGAGCCCCTGCGCCCGTCCTTAACTTGATTCTCTCTTTAAAGACCTGTGGGTCACTCTATTTGTCAGGGTTCTCTGGAGAGACAGAACCAATGGGTTGGATGGATAGATAGACAGATAGACAGACAGACAGATAGATAGATGGATAGATAGAGGATGGATGATAGATAGATGATAGATAGATAGAGGATACATGACAGATAGATACATTATTGATACATAGATACATGATGGATAGATACATGATTAGATAGATAGATGCATGATTGATAGATACATGATAGATAGATAGATAGATAGATAGATGCATGATTGATAGATAGAGAGGGAATTCATTACGGGAAGTGGCTCATACAATTATGGAGACTGAGAGTCTCATGACAAGCTTCTGCAAGCTGGAGACCCTGGGATTCTGATACCATGATTCAGTCCAAGTCTGAAGGCCTCAGAACCAGGGAAGCCAAGTGTGTGACTCACAGTCTGAGGTCGAAGGTTTGACAACCTGGGGTCAGAGCGGAGGGGCGCTGGGTGAAGTCCTGGAGTCCAAAGGCTGGGGAACTTAGAGTTGCCCAAGAGCAGGAGAAAAGGAGTGGGTCCAAGTCCAGCAGACAGAGAGACATATTTGCCCTTCTCTGTTTAGCTCACTCTGGGCCCCCAGCAGATTGGATGGTCCCTGCCCACACTGAGGTGGATCTTCCCTGTCTCGTTCATTCAGACTCACATGCTAATCTCCTCTGGAAATATCTTCACAGACATACACCAAAATCATGCTTCACCAGGTTTCTAGTTATTCCTTCATGCAGTCAAGTTGACACCTGTGGTGTTATAATACCTGTTGGTTTTTGTCCATAGTCCCTGGCTTTTAACTCCCAAAGCCCTTGTTACAGACTTTGTAAAGAATGCTGGTGTGTTCGGCCTTACGTGCAGGCCTCTGACTTTCTCCTGCCCTCTTTTCACTCCAATGTTCCCTCACCTTTCCGACTGACTGTGAATCTTAAGACCTCCCATGAGAGGGTCCCACCCTCTCTGCTAGGGGAAGGAATGGTGATGTCATGAAGCTTCCACAAAAACCCTAGAGGGGCTGGGCATGGTGGCTCATGTCTGTAATCCCAGCACTTTGGGAGGCTGAGGCGGGCAGATCATGAGGTCAAGAGATCGAGACTATCCTGGCCAACATGGTGAAACCCCCTCTCTACTAAAAAATACAAAAATTAGCTGGGCATGGTGGTGCGCGCCTGTAGCCCCAGCTACTCGGGAGGCTGAGGCAGGAGAATTGCTTGAACCTGGGAGGTGGAGGTTGCAGTTAGCTGAGATTGCACCACTGCACTCCAGGGTGGCGCCTGGTGGCAGAGAGAGATTCTGTCTCAAAAAAAAAAAACAAAAACAAACAAACAAACAAAAAAAACCCAAGAGGGGCAGGGCTTGGGGAGCTTCCAGACAGATGAACATGTGAAAGGAAAATATCTTGGGCCCCCAAAGTCACTAAGCTAAAGGGAAAAGTCAAGCTGGGAACTGCTCACAGCAAACCTGCCTCCCATTCTATTCAAAGTCACCCTTCTGCTCACTGGAATCAATGTATATCTGATGGCCTCCTTTGGAGAGGCTAATCAGAAACGTAAAAGAAGGCAACCATTTCTCTCTTATCTACCTGTGATCTGGAAGCCCTCTCCCCACTTCAAGTTGTCCCATCTTTCCAGAAGGAAGCAATGTTCATCTTACCACATATGTGGATTGATGTCTCACATCTCCCTAAAATATATAAATCAAACTGTGCTCTGCCCACCTTGGGCACATGTCAGGACCTCCTGAGGTGGCGTCATGGGCGCAAGTACTCAACCTTGGTAAAATAAGTTTTATATTCACTGGGACCTGTCTCGAATTTTCAGGGTTCACAAACACATGGAGACTCCCAGAGGGTGGTGCCCAGGGAGGGTATGGAAGCTCTGCACCCCTACCCCTACGTTGCCCTATACAGCTCTTCATCTGCATCCTTTGCAGTATCCTTTATAATAAATTGGTAAATGTAAGTAAGTGTTTCCGAGTTCTGTGAGCCACTCCAGAAAATTAATCAAATCCAAAGTGGGGGTTGGGGGAACCCCTACTTGAAGCAGGTCTGTCAGAAGTTCCAAAGTTGCAACTGGAGTGTGTGTAGAGAGGCAGCTTTGGGGACTGAGCCCTCAACCTGTGGGATATGATACTATCTCCAGGTAGATGGTGGCAGAACTGAGTTACAGGACACCCGGCTGGTGTCTCCTGCTTGGTATGTGGAGAAACCGGCCCCCCACATTTGGTTACGGAAGCCTTCCGTGGTGTGAGAGTAGAGGAAGAAGGCAGTTTGAGGAGAGTCTTCCCCTACACAAAATTAACCGTCACAGTCACACTCTGAGGTACTGTGGGTTACGATGTCAAACTACACATTTTAGGGGAGGAAACAATTGAACCCCTAACAAGTGCCAAAGTGGACACTTCCAAGCTGCTCCAGGAAGAGTGGGGGTATTCTGTAAGCCCTAACCCAGAGGAATACTATGATGGACAGATAAAAGCAAAGCATTCCATTGCTTTTATCGGCTCAGCATCCATCTCCCTTTTCCTGCGTACACACCCTGACTTTTCTTTGAGGACTCACTCCATGATGCCCTCAGCCCATATGGTTAAGATAGAATTGGTCTCACCCCAGAAACAAGATTGGGCGTACCTCTGGGCGTGATGGCTCACACCTGTAATCCCAGCACTTTGGAAGGCCTAGGGGGTGGATCACTTGAGGTCAGGAGATCCAGGCCAATCTGGCCAACTTGATGAGACTCTGTCTTTACTAAAAATACAAAAACGTTATCCAGGGGTGATGGTGCAAGGCACCTGCAATCCCAGCTACTAGGAGGGCTGAGGGGGGAAGATTGCTTGAACCCTGGAGGTGGAGGTTGCAGTGAGCCATGATCCTGCCACTGCATTCCTGCCTGGACGACAGAGCCAGACCCCATCTCAAAAAAAAAAAAAAAAAAAAAAAAAAGAGAGAGATTGGGCATATGACCCAGGTCTAGCCAATCAGCATATTTCACCCTCCAGTCACAGTGATTGGTTCCCTGTGAGCACATGACCAAAGCTGAGCCAACCAGACTTAATTCTAGGAGCTAACAGGTTGAAAGCCTGGGAGTGCTGAGGACCATTTTTCCCTGAGAAATGAGCCAGAGACCTAGAGAAAAACAGGTGAGAGTTGTAGAGAGACTGAGCCCACTGGTGTGGTTATAGCCCCTGAATTGGGCTGTGCCTCAAGATAACTTTAGTGGTGGCCTTTTCAGTTACAATGCAGTCCCTTTTTGCTTTAATGCCAGTTCTATGTGGGGTGAAGTGATTTGTAACCCAAAGTGTTCTAATGAATGTTACTATGCCTCCTCCTCCCTCCCGTTTGTGTACCTTGATCATTCCAGGAAGCCGCCAGTAGGAAATCTTGACCAAGGAAAAGAGAATTTCTTTCAGGCTTCCTGCACTGTCTCAAAAGAGCCTGGTTGAAAGCCCCAGTGGAGATGCCTGTAATTGGCCAACGAGGGCCAGCAGCCGGGCCGGGGCTGCGTGCCAATAAATAACTCAAGCAGTCTAAACTCTCGGGGTTTTATAATTATGTGAGAAGACCTAAGATTTCTGTAAGGCAGGGGTCAGCAAATTAAAATTCTCCCAGGAGCTAAGGGCTTCTGAATGCTTGTTTCTGATAATCTTGTTTATGTCCTGGGGTAAATAAATCTGTCTTTTGTTCTGTAGTATTCAACTCTCAGCAATGTTTGTAATTAAAGGGGCGGAAGGTGGAGAAATGAATGAGTTCTTTAATGGGCTCTGTTCTGGGTCACATGGAGTAAGAAAAAAGGCCCTCGTGAGCAGGGGTTTGGGTGGCCTGCTCTGCCCTGGGAAATGGTGGTAAAACACTGGGCAGCTGTTGATCAGGTTGCAAGGGGGAGGGAATCCATCATCATTAGCCTGAGCAGTGAGCACAGGCTGAGCCCCCACTGTCTGGGGCTCGGGTTCCCCTGAGATATGGAGAGAAGCAGAGGGAATGTCTGGTTTCAGAAGTCACCTCATGTCAAGAATCTCCAGGCACAAGTGTCACTTATCCTCTGCTTTTCCTCAAGCTCGGCTCTGGGGGTTGACCAGAGGACAAAACAGAGCAAACAGAATCCTACCCGATGGTCAGATAATCCTGGCTTATAACAGGGTGTGACAGAATTAGGTTAATGAACACACAACACAAATAATAACAATAACAGATACCACAGGTAACGCATGTTGAGCAAGGCGCTGTGTTAAGTGCAACATACATAATTTCTTTTTTTTTTTCTTTTTGTTTTTGAGACAGGGTCTCGTTCTGTTGCCCAGGCTGGAGTGGTGCAGTGGCACAGTATCAGCTCACTGCAACCTCTGCCTCCTGGGTTCAAGTGATTCTCCTGCCTCAGCCTCCGGAGTAGCTGGGACTACAGGCACATGCCACCATGCCCAACTAATTTTTGTTGTTTTAGTAGAGACAAGGTTTCGCCATGTTTGCCAGGCTGGTCTCAAACTCATGGCCTCAAGTGATCTGCTTACCTTGGCCTCCCAAAGTGCTGGGATTACAGGTATAAGCCACCATGCCTGGCCTATACATGATTTCTTTTAATATTCTCAAGAATTGCTTGTTACAGGCACAGTAGCCTGAATTTTATGGATGAAGAAGTGGAGAGAAGTTAAGTGACTTTCCAAGGTTCTCCCTGGCAGAGGATGAAGCCGGCCCTCGCATCCAAGTTCCTGACTGCAAAACTGCACTTCTGCTGACTGCATTTGCTGCCTGCATGCTTTCCTGCAGCTTTGCTCTGCCCTTCGTGGATTTTCTATTCTTCACCTAGTCTTGTCTCTCTGAGTCTCAGGGTTTGTTTGTTTTTTAAAATCTGTAAAATGGGGATAACAACACTTTTTTGTAACAGGGTGCTTGGATGCCAACAACAGAAATAGACTTTTTTAATGTAAGCAAAAATAGAATGTAGGAATGAGCCATCAAGCCACGAAAAGATGTGGAGGAAACTTAAGGAAATGCATATTGCTAAGAGGAAGAAGCCAATCTGAAAAGGCCACACACGATATGGTTTCAGTGATGTGACATTTTTCAAAAGGCAAAAAGATGGGGACAGTAAAAGAATTAGGGGTTGCCAGGTGTTAGGGCGGAGGGAGAGATGAGTAGGTGGGATTTTCAAGGCAGCAAAAGGCCTGGGTATGAGACTGTACTGATGGGGACATGTTATTATGGACTTTGGGTGATAATGTGTCATGCAGGTGCATCAGTTGTAACAAACGGACCACTCTGATGGGGGATGTTGGCAGTGGGGAGGTTTGGGGAAGGGGATATATGGGAAATCTGTATCTTACTCTCAATTTTGTTGTGAATCTAAAACTGCTCTAAGCAATAAAGTCTATGTTTTAGAAATGAAATATATTGAAAGCATCACAGGGAGCTCATGGATTTCTGGCCTCTTTTGCTCCGACGGAGGGAGACAGGTCCAACTCCTACCAAGAACTGCCCAGCAGGGCATTCTCCTCCAACAGAGAAAGGGTGTTCAGATGTGAGTACCCAACAATATCCCCCCAACCCCATCCCAATAAGGTTTTGTGGTGATGGATGTTTTTAACACCAGACCTGACACACAGTAAAAGCCCCGTGAATGGTAATCATTCTTATTCTTATTAATAATACTATCCAGGAAGAGGCTGCTCAGCCTGTCTCCATGCATGTGGTATAAATTCTGGGCCACATTTCCTGTGGGATGATTTAGACTTCCTTTATGAACAGAGACACAAACCAAGCTAACATACCCTCAAGACAGAAGGATGCTGGCATGTCTGCAGATTGGTCACTAAAGCGTATCCTAAATTGAGAAGAAATCAAAACAGATTGCATCTAATTTCTCACTGTTCCAAGCAAGAAATTACGTTTTTAAGTGGAACACCATGACTTTCAAGCTGTTTGCAAACACAGGTTTTTTTTGGAATGTTTTGTCTTGGGCTTGGGTTGGTTTTTTAAAGTGGATAGTCTGTCTCTGCGGGGCTAACTGGGTTTTCAGAGAGAAGAGGCACAAGAATCCGCTTCTCTCACTTCTTCTTCATGCTGTTAGGAGCATGGTGGTTTTCATTTCTCTTTCAGGCTGAGTGGGTTATGATAGGAAAAGGATAGACTTTGGAGCTACACAGACCTGGGTTCGAATCCTGACTCTACTGTTGCCCGGTGTCCAATAGATCCCCCTTATCTGCAGTTTCACTTTCCCAGTTTCAGTTACCTGTGGTCTACTGTTGTCAGAAGAGAAGAGTCCAGTACAATCAGAGATTTAGAAGACAGAGAGACCACATTCATATAATGTACTGCAGTACACTGTTATAATTGTTCTATTTTATTATTTTTACTGTGGTTAATTTCTTACTGTGTCTAGTTTACAAATTAAACTTTAATTTGTAAACTAGTATCATAGGTTTGTATTATAGAAAAAAATAATATATGTATAGAGTTCGGTATCATCCGTGGTTTCAGGCATCCACCAGGGATCTGGAATAAGCGGAGACTCCTGTATAGCCTTGGGTGATTCACTTGACCCTCTGTGAGCTCTGTTTTCTCATCTTAAAAATGGGATAATCATTATTTACTTCCTAGGGACTGTAGCATCTTGCAGTAGCTGTTGCTTTCTCCTTGGGCAAATGCTAGCCTGTATGACCCCACGTTATGAATTAGAACAATTCTAGCAGATGTATCTCAGGCCAGAGTTTATGGCTTGCTAAGCAGGGCACAGGCAGGATTTTATCCCTTCTTTATCCACTCAGGTGGTGCCCTTGTGCAGCATGCAACCTGTGCAACTGTTCATAGCGGCCCTGATATTTAACTGACTAGTAAGCTTTTTAAACCTTTCTTTTATAGGTAGACACAGACCCCTTGGCCAAGAGGATGGGAGTATAGCTGAATTCTGACCGAATTATCTAATGACAAACAGTGATTGGCCCGAAGAATGGCCGTGTGACCCAAATAGTCCAATCAGAGTTTTCCCCTGGGACTGATAAACACATGTTGGGAAAAGTTAGCACTTTATGCACTGGGAAAATAGCAACCATGTTCCTCTTCATATGGGAGAGGCCTGTTTGTAGTATGAGTGTCTTAATCTGTTTTGTGTTGCTATAGCAACACCACAGGCTAGGTAATTTACAAAGAAAAGAAACATATTTCTTACAGTTCTGGAGGCTGAGAAGTCCAAAGTAATGGGGCCTACATCTGGCGAGGGCCTTTGTGCTGTGTCATCGCAGGAAAGAAGGGTAATTGAGTGCAAGAGCAAGAGAGACTGGAACTTGCTGTAACAAAGCCACTCTGGAAGTCGTTTCCAGAACCCATCACTGATCTCAGTTCCTAAAGCTCTTCTGGTGACTCTAAGCTCTAACTCAGTTCTCCTCTCAGTTACATGAGCCCAAACACACTCTTTTTGCTTGAGCTAGTGTGAGTTGGTTGTCTGACAATTGTAACCAAAACTGTCCTGATAACTGGGGAGTTGCTGTAAGATGTATTAGGTATGGAAAATCTTTTGCTCAAAGTGGCACTCCAATACAAAAAAAAAAAAAAAAAGTTGTAGTTGGGCCTGATGGCAGGCACCTGGGATGACAGAGCAAGACTCCCTCTCAAAAAAAAAAAAAAAAAAAAAAAAAAAATTAGAGTGGCACTCTCTAAATAACAGCTGCATGATTGCTACACTGAACCACATGGGAGTCCCACCACTTTGGTTCTTTGGAGTGAAAGGAGGATGTGTTTCATTAGATTTGGGGTATCGGATATGCCAATAGCCCTTGATTTCATGCCATGGCTGATATCAGTAATCTATTAGCAGAAAACATTAATTCATAAAGGCTCTGGTGGGTGTGTATATATATACATACATATATATTTTGGGACGGAGCCTCACTCTGTTGCCCAGGCTGGAGTGCAGTGGCACAGTCTCGGCTCACTAAAACGTTTGCCTCCCGGATTCAAGTGATTCTCCTGCCTCAGCCTCCCAAGTAGCTGAGATTATAGGTGCCTGCCACCCTGCCCATCTAATTTTTATATTTTTTGTAGAGACACAGTTTCACCATATTGGTCAAGATGGCCTTGAACTCGTGACCTCAGGTGATCCACCTGCCTCAGCCTCCCAAAGTGCTGGGGTTACAGGTGAGGCATGAGCCACCACATCCAGCCAGTGCTTTTAAATTCCTACTGTTTGATTGTTTCTGCTCTACCTGGAAATGGTCTCCGGGTCCCTCCTACTCAGTGCTGCAGGCAGTTGCAACTAATCATTTGGAAATTAGATAGGAGATGAAACCAGACATTCTGATTGTCTGCAATTTTTGACAAAATCCATTACAGTTCATTTTTTAAGTCTCTAACTTACGGAAGCATACCTACAGAGGTGAGGGAATGTTGCTTTAAATTAATGCCAGAAGATAAGGTACTCAGAAGAGCACCACAGAAGCCTAAATGGCTAGTGAAAGTTTGGCAGAAGGTTTTTGTGAGCATGTGTAGAGCATCTGGGTCAACCAGCAAGCAGATTCCCAAAGACCCAAGAATAGATTAGCTGGACTCCACCATTGTATCTGGAATGAAGCTCACTTCCTCATAATCTTTTGGGGCTGGCGAGAGAGTCCTCGTGAATATTCCATC